AAAGCTAGAATGTATACACTCTAATAGATTTGCAAAATGAACAGCAGACATATGACACATCTTATTTTTGTTGCATTATATCTTAACTGCTTAAAGTTAATTAAGAGAGAGAGGGACTTATTAAGGATCAGGTTTTTTTGTCATCCATACAAAACAAAGTATGGTACTGGAAAATCATGTTGAACTGAATGAAAACATAGTAAGGCTTATTAGAGGGTGTTTATATCTAGTCATTTCAATGACCTGTGTACTTCACAGAGGATTTTCAGCCTTTTGTAGGAGATGAACTATCTAGAACTATGTATTTCTACTGTGTCAAATGTTTGTTTCAGCACAGAAATGCTGACAATTAGATCTTATGACTCTAACAAGGTCAGTAACTCACACAGCTCTAAATCAAGAACTGTTTTGCTGATATTCATGGGCCTAAATCTGGGACCTAAGTTGTAAATATATTTTTGATTTGGAAAATAACGTATTTTGGAAACACATTGCCTACTAAAGCATAACAAATTGAAGATCTTTATATGTGCATGTATAAGTACAAATTTAGAATGTTTTAGGATTAGTAAGATAGTACAAATAGAAGTTTAATGATTGAGGAGATTTTTTCTAAAACAATGCAACATAGAAACAAGGTATTTTCTCTGGTGGCCAAACTGGTCATTATCCATTAGTTCACCTGACGTCAGTTGGGTTAGCTTTGTCAGCATGCAGATCTGTAGGAGATGCTGTCATGTAATGTGTGGGGACTATAGTGTAGAATTTTCACCACCTGGTGCAAAAGCTACTAACCTTCTCTGGTTACCAAAATTTAAATTTAACTTGCTTAAAAATAAAATAGCCTGTAACTGAGATGGCACTACTCCAGGGCTCGATAGCCATGTGTTGTGGTGTTATGCAGTACTGCAAAAGAACATTTTCTTATTGCCAAATTTTACACTGGACAATGTGGGTAGAGAGAATCTCAAAGAAACAACATTGAAAAAATGGGACTAAATCAGCCCTGATGATTGATCAGCCTCTGCACTTCCAGGTATGCTAATGAATAATTATCATTGTTGTTTAAGCTAGTTTGAGCTCAGCTTTCTTTTTTTTTCCATCTAGAAGGATCCTAGCTAATTAGATATTTTAATTGTTTAAACATTCAAATTTAAGATGTTCTGTGTACTAAGTAAGAACTGTGGTTCCTTAAAGTAAGGCTCCTATCATCACATCAGGACCCTTAATATGCATTAAACACTTTTGCTCAATTTATAAGGAAATGATTGAATAAATTGCTTAGGCCCCTTGCATTTAATAGTTTTCAGTTTTCTCACAAAATAGGCCAAATTAATTTGTTTGAACCTTTTGAAATAAAGTGCAACATTCTTAAAGCTCTGTATTAGATAAAAGCTCTACTGAACCAACCAACTGAAAGGGTTCTTTGATTTAGTCATACAAAGGCCAGCTTCTCTTCAAAGCCTTGTGACTTTACATGGTTTAGCATCAGATGTAACTGTCAACCCCCTTGCACACCATCCCTTCCTATTTAGGAGCTGGATAGGACTCATTAAATGGCAATATAACAATAGGGGTCAATTATATTTTTATCATGAAGTAATCATTTTTCTCAGAAAAGCTCAGGCACCCATCTGTGGCCTTTGCCTTAGGGAGGTAGTTTTCCTTTGATAATCTCACCTATTGAACTGTCATGTTTCATTGCTCAATTAATTTAGCCTAGGATATGGTTCAATAAAATGCCCCCTCTACTCAGGCATTTTGATGACTCTCTGTGCTCTTTCAGACAAAACACAATGAAGTCATAGCATGAGTTCCTGCAGCTGCACACAAAAGCTTCCAGACCCTGGATACCCCAAGGTATCCTCCTGTGACCCTGCTTTGGGGCAGATGGAGACAGAGTGTCACTGATCTTTCTCTATGCCTCTGAGAAGCAACCCAGCTGTTTTTCTGTGGCTCAGTATAGTCAGGTTAAACAAATAACTAAAATTCCCAATGGAGATCTGTGCCTCACATATGACCTCTCAACTCAAAAATAAACCCTTGTCATCAGTGAAAGAGTGATTTTATCTGACTTGTGCAATGTCCAAAACATCTGTTTAGTCTTCCGTTCAATGATACATTTGAATCCTAATAATGCTAAGCAGCCACCACTGGCTAAATATCCTTTTTAGTATAATTAAATGTGCTAATTCTTTCTGTTATAAAAGAAGCCCAAGGATGGAATAGAACAGAAAAGTTATTGTCACCACACTCTAATCTCACTTTTCTGTTTACAGATGTATTATCAAATAGAGTGAATTTCCTTCGAGAGATGCTTTTGTATGCTCGGGACACATGCTGACATGATATACGTGTGTATATCATGAGTCCAATCTACATATATGAAATCTTTTTCTGTGCAATATTATGTGTCCAGCTTTATTACTTAAATAGATAATGTTTGGATGCAGATAACTTCCATTCGACAATGAATGTAGGTGCTCACTTTCTAACATTTTAATCACCCTTTATGTTAACAACTTTAAGATTTCTCTTTGCAAATCTGAAGATCCACAATATAGTTACACACTCTTGGAAACCAGTGAGAGTAAGCTTACACTTAATTTTTCATTATTTTATAGTCAGTCTTGGGGAATTGCCTAGTTTTGTGTTCATCTTTCTTTTAGGCTGAGGTTTTCTTTTTGTATTTATACAAACTTGTAATGGGTTTATGATATTTATAGTGGATAACAAGTTTGGGCTTTACCTTTGCTAGATACTTGCTTATTTTTTCCCTCTTACGTGCCAATTTTTTTCTGTAATAAGTATGTTCATTTTGTTTGTAAGAATATATTTCCATATATACAAGTATATATATGAATATATATAGTATATATATATAATGTGAATTGGCAAATTTGAATATATTTATTATATATGATGGGTTATCTTGAAGTATATATGAATTGATCATGGAATTACTAAATATATGTAGTTAACATGTTCATTACACATTTGTCATAGTAACAAAATTTAAATTGATTAGTAGTGGTTTTCAGAAAAAATAATGCTATTGATTATAGTCACAATATTTTACAATTGATCTCTTGAACATATTTTTCCTATGTAATGGGAAGTTTGTATCTTTGATGAACATCTCCTCTGCCCCTGCTAACAACCATCCTCTTATTTACTTTATGTCATCAGCTTTTCTAGCTTCAGATGCTAGTGACATTTCTCGTATTTTCTTTCTGTAGGTAATTAATTTTAATTAACATATTATATCCTCTGGGTATATCTATGTTAGCCCAAATGATTGTGGCTTAATTGTATTCTATTGAATACATTTACCACATTTTATTTATTTATTTGTTGATGGATTCCTAGATTGATTCTATATTTTGACTACTGTAGGTAAAACCACAATAAACACAGGAAAGCAGATGTCTATGACATATGGATTTAATTCCTTTGGATATGTGCTCACTAAAGGGATTGTTGATCATCTGGTAGCTCTATTTATAATGTATTGAGGTTTTCTATACTGTTTTACATCATGGATATAGAAATGAATGTTTCCATCAACATTGCAAACAATTTCCTTTTTTTAAAATCAATGTGCTTCCTATTTGCCTTTTTAAAAAATCAAATGTGAAATATTGTTTATAACCTACTGTCATAGTGATTATTTAACTAGTTTTTCTCTGTCCCACCAGCCAGCTCCCAAATAACGACACAGAGACTTATTAATTATGAAAGCTTGGCCTTAGCTTAGTCTTGTATTTAACTAGCTCTTATAACTTAAATTAACCCATTTCTAGTCCCCTGTGTTCTGTCATGTACCACCATCCTGCTTCCCCCATGTCTTCTTGTGTCTCTCTCTCACGCCTAGATTCCTCCTCCTTCTCTTTGCCTGGAAGTCCCACCTATACTTGCTGCCGAGTTATTGGCTGTTCAGCTTTATATTATACCAATCGCAGCAATACAACTTCAGACAGTGAACAAATATCCAACAACAATTTCTTCTATTTTTGTCTAAATAAAAAGGAAAGGTTTTAACTCTAGCAAAGTAAAACTGTATACAATAAGAACAATTATCAGGTAAAAATTACATTTACAATGTCCAGTCCGTTTTTATTTGGCATAATTGGAGAAAATACTCTATTATCTATTTTATCTTGATGAATTTAAAGTTTTATATCTAAACTATTTTTATCATAACTTGTATTACCATCCTTAAACTATCTTTTTAGACTTCAAAACATTTTTTAGATTAAACAATTGAAGCTTTTATGTCTGTCAACCTTATATACTTTATACCTCTTTTGTGAATTTTTTTTCTGAATTTGGTAATAAGGAAAACTGTAATTATAATTATCTCATCTCCAAGTGTATCAGAGACTCAAACAAGATATAATATTACCTGAGTAAACAGGAAGTGCAGAGCAAGAAAACTCCAAAACTACAGAAACCACAGAGACAGCTGGCTGCTTGGACAGTCACCAAGTTTTTTCTGCAATGTTGGGGCATCCATCTTTGGTCTACAGGTCTAGAATATCCGACATACTTTTCTGTGAAGCAGGAATTTTGAAGGACTGTCCTACCATGTTTTGGCAAGGTTTGGCAGTCACCTTCTTTTGTGTCCTGCTTTTCCAATTTGGACAACATACTGCCAGCAGTCAAGATAAGGGCAGTTTCTTGCCCCGTGGCAAGCAAATAGACTAAAGAAGCAAATAGGTGTAGTTATTTAATATCTGTCAAAATAGACTTCAACCCAAAACTTATCAGAAAATATGAGAAAGGACACTACATACTCGTCAAAAGGGAAAAAAATCCACCCAGAGGATATTGCAGTTCTAGACATGTATGGACAAAACACAAGGGAACCCAAGTTCATGAAAGAAACACTATTACAGCTAAAATCTCATACTGACCCTCACACAGTGATAGTGGATGACTTAAACCAGAGAATTACTTTAGAAAAATCAGGCCTAAAGGCAGTTATTTTAAAGAGTTACCTTTGTGCTTCCTTCTACAAAGAGAAAATGATGAGCTGTATTGGGAAATATGTTGCCTAGGTTACAAAAGGAACAGTAATCTGGCAATCAAATTCTCAATGTTCAACTGATCTTGAACAGAAAACTTTTAAGAAGAAAACTCTAACAGAAAACTCTCAAGAGGAATCAGTGGGGAGCAAGGTATCATCACACCTGTGATCCCAGCAATTGAGAACCTGAGATCACTGCATATTTGAGGCCAGCCTGGGCCATGCAGTGTGACCCTATCTCAATTGAAAGGGGAAAAAAAGACAAAAATTAATGGGAGATCTCTGCATCTGCTTCCACCAGTCACTGGATGGGATGAGAGTTCTATCATGACAGTTAGGGTGTTCGGAACCAATAGCTGAGGAGCCCCCATGGAACTGGATCAGGCCCTCTGGACAAGTGAGACAGTTGATGAGCTTGAACTGTTTAGGAGGCCTCCAGGCAGTGGGGCCAGGACCTGTCCTTGGTGCATGAACTGGCTTTTTGGAACCTTTTTGGAGACACTTTGCTTAGCCTTGGTGCAGGGAGGAGGGGACTGGACCTGCCTCAACTGAATCTACCAGGCTGGGCTGACTTCCCAGGGGAGGCCTTGCCTTGGAGGAGGTAGGAATGGGGGATGGATTGGGGGGGAAGAATGGGGAGGTGGGAGGAGGGAGGACAGGGGAATCCATAGCTGATATGTAAAATTAAATTAATTATAAAATAAAAATATTTAATAAAAAATTAATAGAGTTAATGCAATTTAGTTACAACAAGTTGAGTGTCACCTTTGGATGTTAGCAGCTGTATCACATTACCCACATTTTCCACAAAGAGGAGAATAATGCCTTTAGTTTAAAAATCACATATTTCTACATGTTAAACATACATTATAATATACTGGTTATAGTTGAAGAAATATTTGTCAAGGATATTATAAAGCATGCCCACATCTTTAAACTTGAGGTTTATATTTAATGAAATGGATAGCCAAAGAACAGGTTCACAGGATCCTATTTCTCACTTTGAATGTCAATTGACAATACAGTGGTGTTCTTTAGAAATTTACTGAGATGAGACTCCCCATAATAATGTAAATACAAGAAGACTTACAGAAAAATTGACGCGTTCAGTAACATTCATGGTGAAATAAAGCAAAAGTAAAAATCAGTCTAGCAAAACCTTGTTTGGGTTCTCAAGGTAAAAACAAACCTCCTCATACATTTATGTAAACCTATGTTTTTTTCAAGAGGAAAATTTGTCAAAGAAACTGTAAATAAAAAAACCGTCCACATACATTAACTTCAAAACTCTGTCTCTAATGTATATTAGTAGCATTTATGTGGAGAACAATCAAGGAATAGTTTATAACATCAAAAGCCTGGAAGTTTGCTGTCATATGGCAAGCACTGGTTGGACAAATAGTACTGCATTTATAGTAAGAATATTACATAGTCATTAAAATAAATGAAGATAGATATTGGTTGTGACAATCTGCAAAAGATTGTGTGTATAGCATTATACTATTTTAAACAATTTACATTCCTCATTTTGTACAAAGGAAAGAGTGCTCATAAATCCTTAAATATACAGAATAACTGAAATGATACAAAAACTAACAAGACAAATTTGATATTGAAAGACAGAGTGTTAGATTTAGAAAGAAGACCATTTTATAGTTTCTGTGGTATTTACATTTTAGTTTTATGCACTTATTTTTTTCCATTATATAAGTATTTGATTTATAACCACAGTACTTGATCTACTCTTAGTTTACAATGAAAGCCTCAGGTGAACTGCATCCACCTAAGTCCCACCACAATTTAGAGAAGTTTCATTTTTCTACAGTTTCTCCAAATCCAAATTTTTAACAAAATATATTATAAATAAACCTCTTGTACTATTGCCTATTACATAATAAGCATCCAATAAACAATATTACTGGTACTCTGTCTTTATTAATATTAATGGCAAAATCAATTTCATAACTTTTAAGATTTTAAACTACCATATGGCTACACAGGTCAAGTTTAAAATCTTTTTCTGATATCCAAGATAAAAGTGTGAATAGTATTTTTAGGATTATAGCAGCACCTTAGAAGATATGTAAATGTCTTTAAATCTTTCTTGTCCTTTTTGTTCACATTCCAGCAAAATTTACTGGCTTAGAAGGAAGCATGGCGGATTATGAATCAATGAGAGTGATACAAACTTGTGTTGACAATTTGAGTTGTAGAAACAGCTGCAGTTTAAAAAATTACACCAATGTTTATTTCTCTGAAATACCAGGAACAGCCCTTCTGCAGAACTGCTTTTATAAACAGTATTGCTTTAGGTAGTGGGATAAATTATGTCCCAGAATTCTACAGAGCATGTCCTTGTATGTTCATGTGAACTCTTACAGCACAGAGACAGATTTTGGCAAATTCTCAACACTGTTGATGACAGATGTTCACAGAGGCTAATATTTTAAATTTAATTTAGGCAACCACTTTTCATAGGAATAATATTTTGATAATCTTCTATTCACTCAGTTTTGGGGGCTTATAATTTTAGGTACTGAAGGGTTACTTGCTAAGAGAACAACGTTAAGAAACCACATGAAACCATCCTGCTACTTTTGAAGAATTTTATGTTTTGTCAGAATTTAGTATGAGAGCTGAGGGAAATAAATACATAAAATTAGAAAGTTTTATAAATTACAGGCAATATAATATTTACAAAAGCATTTTTTAGTATTTAAAAAGCAAGTCCACTAGATGACTTTTAATAGAAAAAAATACCAAAGTTATCAACATCACTTTCAGCCTTTGTATTTTACTTTCCAATAGAAGATGTAGCAATCCTTCAAGTAGACATTGGCTGTGGTTGATATATTGTGCACCTTAATAAACTTATCTGGGGGTCAGAGAAGAGAACAGCCACTATATCAAACATAGGTTTAGGCAGTGGTAGCACACACCTTTAATCCTAGCATTCCAATGGCAGAGATCCGTCTGAATCTCTGTGAGTTAAAAGCCACACTGGAAACAGTCAGGCATGGTGACACGTGCCTTTAATCCCAGGAAGTGATGTCAGGAACCAGAAAGGTATATAAGGCATGAGGACCAGGAACTAGAGCCTTTTAAGCTTTTAACTTTTAGCAGCATTTCAACTGAGATCCATTTGGATGAGGATTCAGAGGCTTTCAGTCTGAGGAAACAAGATCAGCTGAGAAATTGGCAAGGTGAGGTTGGATGTGGCTTGTTCTGTTTCTCTGATCATTCAGCATTCACTCCAATACCTGGCTCCAGGTTTGTTTTTATTAATAAGACCTTTTAAGATTCATGCTACAGTTGGAAATGTCATTCAGTAGATGTGCTGAGACAAGTGACTTTTGTCTTGGAAACATTTTGATACACCAACAGTAAGGTCTTCTCAAAGCTGACAATGCCCTGAACATCCTCAATATTGAAATATTTAGAAGGAAACAGCAACAGTTTAATGTGACATTTTATTGTAACACACAAATATTTTACCATGGATTTATACAGAAGATAATGTAGATTCTGACAATACAAAAATAGTTATTAAACATCTAATGTGTCTGTTATTGAATGATGAAACAAAAAAAAAAGGATAAGGCAAGCTTGCCTCTCAATTTTTCCATAGCACACAAAGGCAGTGATACACCACACTTAGCTTACTGCAGCTGAATGAGGATATGGTACTGCTGCTCCTGAGATCCCTTTGCTGATACAGAGGAGAGTGCTGTTAATCACGCCTCTAGCTGGTATTGCAAGTAGTAATAGTAAAAATTCACTGTGAGTTTGGAGAATGATTGCAAATGACAAGCAATGAAAAGAACAAAGGAACGGTTTGAGAAAAAGCTGAGAGAACATTAAAATGCACATGCTTCCTCCTGGACATAGCGAGGCAGAACAGAACACAGAAACAGCAATTAGTCTGTCCATTTGGGTAGATGTAGTTGGAAAGGGAGGCTGGGCCCTGATTATGTGTTATTTAAATTTCTGTGGTAGGTGTTGAATAATTCTTGAAGTTAAGTGGAAAATGAAAGACAGAAATCAGATTTAGGAAGTCTTTTCCATAGTGACAAAGACTATTCTCAGATACTTGAGAGACACAGTACATCTGGATGACTCCAAAAGCAAGAAGACAGAGCACTATCAGTCATAATTCTTACTATAAATAACTATGAGGTTATTGAGTCATTTAAGGGCAGTATAGGTAAGAAGGTGAAACAGATGTGGGAGCTTCCAATGGATGGAGTTTCTAAGAGCAATATAATTGGTGCAGTCGGGATGAAGCATGGAATTTAGGAAGATGGCTTTGAGTGATGAGGCTCATCAGAGGCATTGCTAGATGGGTGGAAACAGAAACCGTAGCACTGGCTAGGATGGGTGGAAGGGGCACTCCCGGTATTCCTTCACTAGGAAATAGTTTAGTAATTCTGCAAGCATTGCACAGTAATAAATGTATATATTTTTCCACATTTAAGGCACCACAAATCCTGTTCCTCAGTTTAATCCTCACCATATTTTAGTTATTCATTAATTTTGGCCATTTGTAGCGATTCTACCTTATAAATTACTAGCCATTCTCCGTCTGTTGCTACTACACATAGGCAAGCTGCACTTATTTATCACTTGCATAAGGCAAGAGCTTTAAGAAATATTACAGATATTTCCCTCATATACATGAATACATGAATGTTTAAATGTTTATACCAACTGATAATTATCAGAGTTATTCTTTTTGTTTGTCTTTTCATTTCTTGGTTAAAGGACATCCTACCCAACACATAACCAATGTATAGTAGTCTCTCCTTATGCTTGCAGACATTTTCATGAGTAACCATTATCACACCCGGAATTAACATACATTATTATCATTTTCTATAGTTTCCATAATTGATTACACTTATTTTTAATTGTTCATTTGTAAAAAGGATTATTTAAAGAGACATGTCTAGACTCTAGATAACACTTGTGCTGATATAACCATAAGGTTCAGTTATGGATGCTGGAATGCAATAGGGCTCAGTAGGTAAAAGTGCTTGCTGCCAAGTATGATGACCTAAATTGGATGCATTAGACCCACATGGCAGAAAGCCAAACCTGACACCTGCAAGTTGTCCTCCGGCCTTCACATGCACATTGTGGCCCATGTGCTTTCCACACACAAACAAATAAATAAACTAAAAATAAATAACTTTGTGTTCCTTTAGCTGGACATTTTCATCATTAACGCAAAGAATATTAAGAATATTCATGGCTTACTTTCTGGTATTGAATAGGTCAAAATGCATAACTGTACAAAAACTTAGGCAT